AAGTGTTATTTGATACAATGCTGAAGTCGACATAAGTGTTATTTGATACAATGCTGAAGTCGACATAAGTGTTATTTGATACAATGCTGAAGTCGACATAAGTGTTATTTGATACAATGCTGAAGTCGACATAAGGGTTATTTGACACAATGCTGAAGTCGACATAGTGTTATTTAAACATATTGCTGAAGTGTTATTTGATACAATGCTGAAGGTGACATAAGTGTTATTTAATACTTGCTGTAATGGACATAACATTATTTACATACATTTCTATAGTCGACATAAGCGTTAAATGAAAACATTGATGTAGTCGACATAGGCATTTTATTTACAAGCATTACTGTAATAGACATAAGGGTTTTTTACATACATAACTGTAGCCGACATTAGCGTTAAATGCTAACATTGCTGTAGTGGGGAAAAAGTCATGTATACATATTGCTGTAGTCGACATAAGCGGTAAATACACACATTGATGTAGTCTACATAGGCGTTTAATCTAAAAACATTACTTATGCCGACATAAGCGTCATTTACATACATAACTGTAGCCGACATTAGCGTTAAATGCTAACATTGCTGTAGTGGGGAAAAAGTCATGTATACATATTGCTGTAGTCGACATAAGCGGTAAATACACACATTGATGTAGTCTACATAGACGTTAAATCTAAAAACATTTCTTATGTCGACATAAGCGTCATTTACATACATTGCTGTAGTCGAAACAAAATGGTTAATTACGTACGTAGACACGTTTCTGTAAGTGAAGCCTAATGGTTGTGTCAAAAACTCTGATGTCAACCAGACGCGTGTAGGACACGTGTGTATATCCACTTCTATGCTCGTTCTTCACCTCCACAGCGTACGAACATGTGTCTCCCACCTTTTGGTACTGGGACAGAGTGTACTTACAGGTACCCATGAAATTGACACGCTGTCCATCAAACATTATGTAATGAGGGTCCCCGGATGCCTGACACCAACACACAGCTGAAAAAGAAAATATAAAACACTGTACTTCATTATCTTAATGACATCGGAACTCACCAAAACATGTCTCTTGAACTAGGGGAAACTCGAGATTAGTTGACATGATGTTCAACGAAAAAAAATGTTAAAAATTCCGTTTAGATTTTATTTGACAATTGATAAATCAGAGCAACATCTCTCTTTATTTGATATAAACATACACTTCATCGTAAATATACACACTGTACTTAAGGATGTACACCTCTGAGAAGTCAACAATTCCCTGTATTAAACTTTTTTTCTTATATGGATGTTTGGAAAATGGAGTTAATGGCAAAGCAGAAAATGCAAAAAAAACGATATGTCGGTGTATTCGTTTTTGTGCTATGATCGATCAAAGATACCAATTTAACACAACATGTTATTTTAGGTGATTTTTTAGGTTTTGACCATTTGCGGAACAAATTCATACAATTTCTTTCAAGTGTGTTATCAGATATGTATGAATGTTTGTAGAATTAATAAAAATATTATTTTCTTTTAAATTATGGAAGTAACATTTCTTAATCTTATTCTTTTAACTCAGAAAGCCGATTTTAGTTACCCCTACCCCCTATTTTTTAATGAATAAATACTCATTTTTTTTACCATTTTTTGCAGATTAAACGCTTGATATAAAAAGTTCTGGTATTAAACTTTTTTAATATTTAATGAATTAAACGAAAATGTGTTTCTCTTTCTAAAACAACCATAAAAATGGGGGGTCGGTGTGCTTCTTTTTTTGTCCCATTATCATTTGTGTTATTTTTTCCCTTTTTCGGGGCCAAAAATCAAAAGTGCTTCAGTTACACTAAATATGTAAAAAAAAATATCAATAATGTATAATTTTCCAGTTTGTTGCATATTATTTTTATCATATTAAACATTATAAAGTTGTACAGCAAAATTGAACCTGCTATAAATAAAAATGACGACACAATGACAACTTAAGTGATCAATCTAGTGTCAAAAAAGGTGAATTTTTTTGCCTTTTTTGAAGCCCAAGAAATACACATTAATACTCATTTTCAAAATGGCCGCCAAATTGGTATTGTTTCTAAATTCTTTTTAAAAAAGTTCTACAAGCAACAGACATCTAGTTTTTTTAAATATTTTTCAGATGCGTGTTTGCTAATAAACTTGATCATACTTTGTTAAATACAAAAACCTTTTACACCAGATCAAAACGCGACTTGAACGTGATTGAAACCTCAGAAGAGTACATCCTTAATGGTAAATCAAAATTTAACCGCCGTATCTATTACATTTAGTTATTATTTATGACAAAACCAGACTCTCTTCAAGCGGATATCAGTTAAGAATATAAATCACATTTAAATTCAATAATATTATTTTTTTTTATTAAATTTGTCATTAGATATGTTCTTTGAAACACTGATATTTTTAAAATCGCCAAAAAGTCAAAACCAGTATTTTCCTCATTAAGCGTTACAATACGTTGATAACCATTTAACTGTGACGCTAAAATTTATAAGATATATAAAAAACTGAAAAAGGAATATTTAGTCTTGTTAGAGATAATATCTGGTGATTCTTTTCCGAAATGTGTTTATTATTGATAATCAAACATCTGATACAACATTATTTTAAAGTATATTTTGTAAATGAACAAATAATTTGAAAAGAAATGTTGTCAATAAACAAAGCATCGAGATATACTGACTGAAAAATCGAGTGAGCAAGAACAATGCACAAAAGAAGAAATGCGAAACCTACATGTTCTTTAATCATAATACGTGTGTCATGATGCTCACTTCCTGCATGTTAAATATTTTGGAAACTCTCATTCTATGATTGGCACTTAACATATGCTGATAGAATCGCCATGCGTGAGTCTAAACTCGTGACGTATGTAATTATTTCTGTATTATTTGGTAATGGTGCGCTAATACTCACGGTAACATCCTTTGATGCCGTCACCCTGGTTGGGAGCTTTACATTCACAATGGTCATTGTCAACACACACGGCGCTGGGGTGACACTTTGGAAACTTCCCACACGTTTCAGGTACTTGACGAGAAATAAGAGTTTATCAATCAATGAGTATGTAGTAGGTTCGCATTAAGTTTCATACAAATATTATCGAAAGCATACAATTGTTATATTTAGTTAGTTTACTAAAAAACAACTTCATTTGTATATCATATTTGAAATTGAGTTATATTGAGACATTAGATCATCTATGAAGTTTTACTGTAATTTTCATTTCATGTCTATGTAAAAAAACGATAGACAACACTGTTAACAATTCTTACTTCCCGACTTCCGTGTTGAGAGAATTATCCGGAACCCCAACAATGTAGGAAGTTGCGAAGATTATTCTTCTTTGTCACATTATTATCTATCGAACATATTTTATCTAAGAAAGTAGTTGATGAGTTAAAGTTCTATCTTCTGACATAAATTGAGACAGAAAATGAAAGATAGAATATATTGTGTGTATGATCGCCGCTTAGCTTGGTAGAATATCAGATTATCCAATAGAGCAGATGGTATTCTGACAAACAGCTGCGCAACACATTTTCCAATAAAATGGAATAGAATCAATAATAAAGATTGATGATCACAAGTATCATCATCGTCCGAATTAATTTGTTTTTGGTTTCTATTAATAGGAGGTAGATAATATTTTATCTTGGGAAGGTCACACAACTACTTTTATCAGTTGATAAACTTAAACAAACATAGAACATTACTCGTTAAATATTTTCGGGATCATGTCCTTATTTACTCTTATGCCTGCTCCATTTTAAATAACACATCTTGGTCACTATTTCTTACATATGTCCCTGATTGTTCGAGCATTACAATGTTTTCCTACATTCCATCTGCGCTTCAGAGAGACAACAGCCGATCAGAAGTTTTGCAGAAGAAAATGATCGATTTTATCTGTGATAATTTCATTATGACAGCACCCTTCCCGTGTGAAGGCTATGTGTTAAGGAAGCAAACAGCAAACACTGGGAAACAGCTACGCCTTTGACTTTCAATAATGCATTTAAAGAGCACGATTCCATCAGGATAGCATTAACAACACTAAAAGGATAACACTTAAAGAAAACATGATACGCAATCAACACCTGGGCCCGTATTCATGAAACCGTTCTCATGCTCAAGCATGGATTTTGTGCTCAAGCCTAATTTCTTTTTCTGTTGTAACTTAATAAATAGATCTTGTTTTGTCAATGATTTGAAAACATTTTGAAGAGACTTGAAGCCAAATACTGTTTCAATGTTTACATTTGACTTTTTGATCGTTTGAAATTATTTAAGCGAATTACAAGAAAGTTTGTTTGAGCACAGAAACTATGCTCGAGCATGAGAACTGTCTTGTGAATACAAGCCCAGAGAGAGTAACATTTACGCCCGTAAAGACAACTTCAGAATAGGTGTCCGAGAGCTTATAGAGCAGAAACGAGCTACCCCTACCTATCTATGTTGACAATGTTTCACGTGAAACTGGACATATCGAGTCACGTGATAGATGACCTAGTGACTAGGAAAAACGCTGTCAAAAGCATGACATTTTGTCTAAGCTAGATTACCGAAAGGTAACCACTCAACCATAAACTATATATACCAGTATTTTAACATGTTTATGCATAAAATATCACAACCAAAATTATGGTGTCATCCACACATAGTACACAAGTAGTAACAAGGGTGCGAATAATTTCTCGAGCCTTGGAGTTGAAATACTTTCAGATTCAGAGCCAATCAAAACAAAGTCCCTTTACACTGTAACAACATCTCTATATGACCAAGCTATATATCTATACTCAGCAATTAAGAAGGGTAAACAACCGTTTCAGCTGAGATAGATTTATATTGTTTTTTTAAATTTTACTCAAATTAGTATCAATATATTTACTGAAGCGTTGATACAATTTTTTTTTTTTACTTCACACGGCCAGTCATTTTGTTTACAAAGAAATGGTGTGCAATGCTCATGCGCTAGTAGAGGGAAATCCCTTAACAAAACGTTGGTCAGACAGGTAGAAATACCGATGATTATCTTAGATTTAATCATTTTTATGAATCTATTTCAGCCGAATCCGATCGTTATTTTCCATAAGGAGTCTCACTTGATATGTTTATGAAGTATTTGAAAAAAAGACATTAAAACAAGTTATTTCAGCGTGATGCCCCTTTAATCAACGACTGTGTTAATATGACATTTACATTTTTATGAATGACACATGATGATTTGTGTGCCTGCAAAGCTGTGTCATTCATTTCGATTGTAATGAAATATCAACACAGTGTAATGTTGAAAATTCAAAATGTTGCAAGTATTGTAAGATCAGAGAAAGAGATATGTGCTTATTAAAATGTTGCATTCGTCAATATTTCGTGTATGCTTACTCGAAGAATAGAGCAGCCAATTTAATATTACTTAACTGTCATACTTTGAAATTGTTTACAACATGACCTATCCTATACTGAACATCGTTGTCTTACCTGTACAAGCCTTCAGAGGATCTCCTGTGTGTCGTGCCTTACATACACACGTGTCTTGACCACCCTCAAGTTTACACTCAGCGTTAGTACCACATGTTTCCCTCGTTTCCTTGACAACAATCTTCATCTCGTTACCTACTGCTGTACATTGTCTAACTACCGAACAATCGCTTGAAATAAACTCTGCACCATCCTTGAATAAAAAACAAATTATCCATTTCTTGAAAGAATTGTGAAACATTATTTTGTAATTGCAGGACAGTATAACATGGAAAATGCACTCATTCTACGTCAAATCAAAAACTTCGTACAGAGGACACTTCCTCCTTATCGACAATATAACTGGTTTGAATAATTTAAGTTATTGGAATTATTTTAGTAAAAGGATTTCTTTACTTCAGAACATTTGAAGTTTGATAATTTAATGCCGTTACATTCTATGTTGTGTCACATTTTTTAAACCGTGTAATCAACATTTGTGGTATAGCGGTTAAGTGGTAATGGATTGTTAGCCCACAACACTACATATATTGCCAACAATTAACCGTTTCTGATTCACTAAATCGAATTGTACCATGTCTGCGATGTAACGACATTTTTTACTGGTGAATAACCATGTACTATTTGACGATAGGCCATGTGCGTGTATGTTTTTTAACAGACAATGCACGTGCGACGCTCTTCCGAAAACCCTCTAATGTATTGCAAATGTAACGAGCTAACCGAGGGCGTTCACGAATTGATTTATTTCGAATTTATATATATTATATGTAGCGTAAAATTGTGAGGTGCAGGGTTAGAATCCTGGTCAAGACCCGCTGATTCATTTTTTACACTCAAAATACTGTTGTTGACTTAAAATAGTTTTCTTACTAAAAGATAGATATATGAAAGCTACTGATATGCTGGACATATTAATTTCCAAAGAATAGTTGCAGTTTTTGGCAGTGGTGGGGGATCCTTTACCTCTAAATCTATTACATATTGACAAGCTCATCAAGAAACTGTTCCGCCGAACTTTCCCTGGGGGTGACTTGAAATAGTGTTTTTGGTTGTCTTTAAAGTTTTGATTTCATTGGCTGACGAGCTATATCACTATACAGACGCTTTTGATGGATTGGAATGGTCATTGTTTAGAGTTTATCATCTGTCAAATTGAGCATACAATGGCGACTGAAAATAAAGCTTGTTTGGATTTCAAACCCGAAATTGGAGATAAGGTCTTTTATCAAATCACTACGTTCAAAGTTGTTCACTCTCACCACCCGTACAAAAACTTTGATCATAATCAACAAACTATGAGTCATATATAATCCTCCCAACAGATTTAACAGACAAAACAGAACAATAGCCCACAGTATCTCGCATATAACGTGCAAAAAATAACATGAGATAACAATGAGGCCAGTGAAGTCATTATTCGTTCAATGGATATCCTCAGCTTTATATAAAAATAACAATAATAATAATAATATACAATATTTGATATAGCGCCCTCTCTAGCTAGCATAAGCCACTCTAAAGCGCTTTCAATACATAGATATACAATTAACATATACATTAAACAGTACATTTTTTGAGGAATTCGCAGGAGCTTCCCTATCAGGCGCGAACTACTAGTCCTATGCCACCTGGCTAATGCCCCCTACGTGTGCTGGATATATAATGTGTTCTGTTTATATTGGGACCGTGCTTCTAACGGTATCATGTATAGTGCCACCTCACTTGAATGCTACAACACAGATACCGCAACATCCACCCCAGATCAATTAATACTCCAACTGGGTTATTGGAGTTCTGTGGGCAGGAGAACACCACTCTCTCTCTGAATATTCCATGCGTACGACTTCGGGGATCGTGGAAAGCCGGAATGTTAACCACTCGACCACTCCGCCCAAACTAAACCGAATAGAATCGTTTAGTTGACTGCTGTCGGCTTTTAAAGCTAGTTTGTACTCCCGAACATCTCATCGCTATAGTTTATTTGATCGTTTTTAACGTTAAACACAAACAACAGTATGCTCAGAATGAAGTTACCGACCTGATATTGAGTTCCATCATCATCTTTACATCCACATTCCTGAACACGTATACATTGTCCATCATTCCTCACAAATCCCTTGTCACAGGCACAGCCTTCTGCCATGGGTTTCTGACAACTGCTGGGGGCTGTAGGATCCTGACATGAGGCCGGACAGGCAGTCACCTTTTTGACGTAGTGGGCATTGGTTCCACAGGTAATTTCTGAAACAGGTATATCGATATGGCAGACCATGTGAAATATGCTATTCGAGAACAAATTTGTCAAAGTTCATAAAATAGATACGTTAATGTGGCTTTACATGTATACTGTTTTATATCATACAATTTCTGGTTATTCATATATAATGTTATATCTTATACAAGTTCTGGTTATTCATATTATAATGTTATATCTTATACAACTTCTGGTTATGCATATATAATGTTATATCTTATACAAGTTCTGGTTATTCATATATAATGTTATATCTTATACAAGTTCTGGTTATTCATATATACTGTTATATGTTATACAAGTTCTGGTTATTCATATATAATGTTATATGTTATACAAGTTCGACATTATCACGATTTAACATGCTGTTTTCAAAGAAGTTACTCGATTGGTATTCGTGACAGATTTTGTAATGAGTGTCAAGTACAGAAAGTAGGTCATGTGGACTATGGTTGACCTTTCAAAAAATTTGTCCATGGCATATTTTCTATACTTTTTTTCACCTGAAGTATTTGATATTTAGAATTGATATCTAATTATTTGATATGTTGCCCTCGATTTTAACAGTTCACTATCAAACATATAAGATATATAAGACACTTAACGGAAAACTTATGAATTTTCTCTTCTATTACTTCCTGAAATTATGGGAGATTGCTGTATCGGTACAATCGTTTTTTTTATCTTATTTGAATTTTGACGAACAGAGCGTTCGAGCAGTAAATCAGACCACCTTGTCAAACAAGCGAAAGGGAGATTGTCATTGTCCCGTCAAAATTAATATTAAGCTGGAATATTCGACTAACGTAACAATCAAATGTTGCCTTAATATAGTGACGTCATTATTAACTTTATATTAGATCATCACATTTGTATAGTTATGTGACCACACACAACACAACGCGACAAAAATTGCGTGCGCACACCGTTCGCAGATCGTTCACAAATGGTCACACAACGGTGCGATTTAACAATCGTTATCCCCGTTGTGCGAATCTCTCTGAATAAAATGTGCGATTTGGTACAAGTAGTTGATCAATAAAACGGAATGGAAATAATCTGGGAGTTTCGAATGGAATGAAGAACACTGTATATAAAAAATTCTTATCATATTTATTAAAATTATGTTTAATTTCACATTGCGTGTTACACATTCTTACAGTAACCGTTAGACTGTCAAGAATGGGTTTGGCTCCCAGGTAACAGAACAGTTAAGTAACATTTTGATGAAAGACCAGAGGTTTATCTGGCGCCCTGTGCCTGAAATAGAGAGCCGATATATGATAACGTAAGTCTGTTATGAAAACACAAAAGGACATTCAATTTTGGTATTTGCATTCGCTTTGGTCTATAGCCCGTAGGTAGAATATATATAAAAAATCAAGTTTATATGTTAAACACGAAACCGCATATATTATTGGCGGATTGGTCGAGTGGTTACTTTCCGGCCTTCCACGCAGGCGGCCGGGGTTCGATCCCCGATGTCGTGGTACGGATGGAATATTAAGAGAAAGGGTTTCTCTCCTGCCCACACAACACAGGTGTAGTATACATTGGTTTGGGGTGGATGCTGCGGTATCTGTGCTGTTGCATTCAAGTGAGGTGGCACTATAAATACATTTGGAAGCACGGTCCCACTACAAACAGAACGCATTACATCTCCAGCACACACACAGACAAACACACATAAGGAGATACTAGCCAGGTGGCATAGGACTAGTAATTAGCGCCTTATAAGGCACTTCCAGCGAATTCCTCAAAATTGTAATGATTAATGTATATGCTAATTGTATTGATGAATTGTATATCTATGCACTATAAAACGCTTAAGGGTGCCTTATTCTAGCTAGATAGGTCGCTATATCAAATATTGTATGCTATAATGTTTCATATGTTATTAAGCCAGTTCACATTTACACCAACCACTATTGTTATCGCACAACGTTGGTCCATCATCCGCACAAAATTTGCTCAAGCAATATTCGACCGTAGATCATTATCGATTGAAAAACGGATAGTTTATAAAAGACACAACTATATAGGATATTTTTTTTCAGGTAAAAGTGAGCGGTGTGACATGTATAATCTTAGCGAGACTTTGGCAAACAAAAACAAAAAAAGATTGCGACAATGATCACCATTCTACAATAGATTGAAAACGAATTAAACATCATATTTATGATGTGATTAAGAGGTCTTTTTATATATTGAAAACAACAGAAGTTATAAAATCGTCGTTAATTGATAAGTATTCTATCTTGGTTTTCCTACTATAATCTTTTTACAACTTTCGTACCTGTACAACCCTTCAGGGGGTCCCCCTTGTGTCGTGCCTTACATACACACGTGTATTGACCATCCTGGAGTTTACACTCAGCGTTAGTACCACATGGGTCCCTCGTTTCCTTGACAACAATCTTCATCTCGTTACCTACTGCTGTACATTGTCTCACTACTGAACAGTCCTTGGAGACGAATTTAGTTCCCAACTGCAAATATGAGGCATTTCATTTGATATTTACAATAAATTAATATTTAATTCACATATTTTAAAAAAAATGAGATAAAACCTTGGGGTAAATATAAAACAGAATGCAAACATGTACACCATCATAATCATTAAATGTTATAGGGGATAATCACTTAATGAAATAACTTATCATTTCAATAGGGTCTACATTTTTTACGTCTCTAATCCTGTATTTAAGGAAAGTTGATATCTGCTTGTTGATCTAACACAAAATGTAAAACTAACAAAATAACATATATGGAAAAAGCAATGAAAACCAATTAGACAGGAAAACGTGAATAATAGGTGAAAGTAAAATAGTAGAATAAAAGCATAATAGAAAAAAAAGTAGAGAAATAAAGTAAGTAGAAAAAGTTAAACAGAAAAAGTAACACATTAAGAAGAAAAAAAATTCCAAAATTAAGGGTAAGTACAGAAAAGTTTAATAAACAGAGAACTGCACAATGATAGATCAAAACGAGTTAAAATGAGACAAAGTATAATAAAGAAACTATAAAAACAAACCAGAGGGGAAACTTGAAATGGAAAACTAAAAAAAAGTAACATAGAAAAGGTGAATACGTACAAAAAAGAAATATAAAAGAAACATATTTTTTAAACCGTTTAAACCGTTAGCAAGTTAAACAAACAAAAAAGTAAAAATAAAAAATGACATAAAAATAAATAGATAAATAAAATGAAAAACTAAACTATCGTTTCATTTAAATAGTTTTGCATTATTTGGTTTCAATAATATATACCGGGTAGTATTGCCCGTCGTCGTCAGTACAACCACATTCGGCCACGCGAACACAGCGTTGGTTACTGAGAACATACCCTGTATCACATTCACACCCCTCAACTGCGTTCCCAGTGCATTTGCTGGGGGCTTCCCTGTCCACACACGTGGCAGGACAAGCTGACATATCAGCACTGTAGTGCGAGTTTGGTCCACACGGTAACGCTGAGTAAAAATTAAGAAAAACGAATGCAGAAGAAAAATTAGAACTTTGTGACAGCATTGTAATTTAAATATATATTTCAATACTGGATAATTACGCCTCAATTTTAACTTTATATGACAATTGTTTTAGTACCGCTAACCTTTCGGCGATGTCTCCCTAGTCACATGAGGTTATTTCCAGGTCTGAATGATGTTACTGCCATGATACATTGGCCAAGTTACGATATTTCAGTAAGATAAAAAGGCTCGTTAATGGACATTGTGTTCATTTGGGGAAAACTTAAAGCAAACTTGACAAAGACGAAGCTTACGACAGAGCGTCGACGTTCTCCATTTGACTGTGATACCTCCCATTGCACACAGGTAGGAAAGGTCACTGACGTCATCACAGAGCACCTTCTCGAGAGTTTTCCCTTCCGCGTTGTCAACCCTATAAATAATTAGTTACAAACGTTATGCTTCCCTCGTAATAAAGTTACATTTCATTATATTTTAGTGACTGAGATGAATAAAACACATACAATTAATTAGTGTACAGACTTCAAAATGCGCGTTTTCGATAACCTGGCGTTGAACAGCCCGTGTCCCTATGTCTTACCTGAACGCGCAGTAATCATACACACAAGAACTAAATAGAAGTCCAGCGGTTTCTCTAAAACTTTTGAAACACTCGCTGAAGGCACTTTGTGTAGTACTTGTTGGGTCCATGACCCTACAGACGGACGTTGTTTCTCCCTCCGTCTTAAACGTTGGGTTCTGTGCACAAGGGTGGAAATCTTCTACTTTTTTGCAACTGAAACATAAATTTGGGAATAATCATGAGTTTACCTCGTTTCATAATCAAGTTTGTCTGTGTTTACTCCTTCATCAGTGAATCAAATTAAATAAGCTGTCGAAATGTGTAACATTGTGAAGGCCTCAATTTCTGCAATATCGTATAATCGAAAGCAAATTGAACAACATTTTAGCCATACTTTTTAAAAGGTCTTCGTTGAAACGAACAGCAATCAAAATATAACGAGGACCAAATATTTCGTCAACACACAAGAACAAAATTAAGCACAGGACCAATACAGAGAGACAAAACATAACACAGTTTCGAAACAAAGACGAAATATACATTAATGTCAAAAATAAACGAATCAAAATGACAACACACAAGACTAAACATACCAAGGACGACATACCCTACAGCGTGAACACACAAGGACAACATACCCTACAGTGTCATCATACAAGACCAGCATACCCTACAGCACCAATAAACAAGGACAACATACTCTACAGCGTGAACACACAAGGTCAAAATATATCACAGTGTCAACACACAAGGTCAACATACACTACAGCGTGAACACACAAGGTCAAGATATTCACAGCGTCAACATACAAGGTCAACATACCCTACACCGTGAACACACAAGGACAAAATATATTACAGCGCCAACATACAAGGACAACATACTCTACAGCGTGAACAAAGAAGGATAACATATATTACAGCGCCAACATACAAGGACAACATACCGACAGCGTTAACACAATGTCAATATATATCACAGCGCCAACATACAAGGACAACATACCCTACACCGTGAACACACAGGGACAAAATATATCACAGCGCCAACATACAAGGACAACATACCCTACAGCGTGAACACATAGTGACAAAATATATTACAGTGCCAACATACAAGGACAACATACCCTACACCGTGAACACACAAGGACAAGCTATATCACAGCGTCAACGTACAAGGACAACATACCCTACAGCGTGAACACACAAGGACAAAATATATTACAACGCCAACATACAAGGACAACATACCCTACAGCGTGAACACACAAGGACAAGCTATATCACAGCGTCAACATACAAGGACAACATACCCTACATCGTGAACACACAAGGACAAGCTATATCACAGCGCCAACATACAACGACATTATACCCTACAGCGTGAACACACAGGGATAAAATATATTACAGCGCCAACATCCAAGGAAAACATACTCTACAGCGTTAAAACAAGGTCAAGATATATCACAGCATCAACATACAAGGACAACATGTCATACAGCGTAAACATACACAAGGTGAAGATATATCACAGCGTCAACATACAAGGACAACATGTCATACAGCGTAAACATACACAAGGTCAAGATATATCACAGCGTCAACATACAAGGACAACATGTCATACAGCGTAAACATACACAAGGTCAAGATATATCACAGCGTCAACATACAAGGACAAGATATATCGCAGTGTCAACATACAAGGTCAACATACACTACAGCGTGAACACACAAGGACAAAATATATTACAGCGCCAACATACAACGACATGATACCCTACAGCGTGAACACACAGGGATAAAATATATTACAGCGCCAACATACAAGGATGACATACCCTACAGCTCAAACACACACAAGGTCAAGATATATCACAGCGCCAACATACAAGGACAACATACTGTACAGCGTGAACACACAGGGACAAAATATATTACGGCGCCAACATACAAAGCAACATACCCTACAGATGAAACACACAAGGATAAAATATATTACAGCGCCAACATCCAAGGAAAACATACTCTACAGCGTTAAAACAAGGTCAAGATATATCACAGCGTCAACATAGAAGGACAAGATATATCGCAGTGTCAACATACAAGGTCAACATACACTACAGCGTGAACACACAAGGACAAAATATATTACAGCGCCAACATACAAGGATGACATACCCTACAGCGCAAACACACACAAGGTCAAGATATATCACAGCGCCAACATACAAGGTCAACATACACTACAGCGTCAACACACAAGGATAAAATATATTACAGCGCCAACATACAAGGACAACATACCCTACAGCGTCAACACACAAGGATAAAATATATTACAGCGCCAACATACAAGGACAATATGTCCTACAGCGTAAACACACAAGGATAAAATATATCACAGCGTCAACATACAAGGACAACATGCCCTACAGCGTAAACAGATGGATACAATATATTGCATTGCCAACATACAAGGTCAACATACACTACAGCGTGAACACACAAGGGTAAAATATATCACAGCGTCAACAAACAAGGACGAGATAAATCACAACATGAACACTACGGGTGAAATATATACCATATATTTAACAATGCCATGGAGTGAACCAATTTGACTTAAAGTGTATAGATAAGAAAAGGCATCATGAACTGAGGCGATATCACCAAGCAATCTTGTGAATTAGATTTGCTTCTGAACCAGTCAATACCCGGCAAATTTGTCAATATTGTCGAACAAAGGCTTTAGGATATGAATGTTTATTTGATATCTGACCAACAGCCGTTTTTACCAAGTGTGGATTTCTACGAGTGTTGTTACATACTGACAAACATCACTTTTGGAGCGAATCGACGAGAATCGCCGAGCTCGGTAAGTCAGATTAAGTGCCTCGTGCCACTACACATTCACAAGAATATCATTGTTTTCTTACCGAAAGATGGACTATCACAGTAAATGCTAGCATTCCTGATGGAATACTTACTGTTGAAGTTGTAGATCAGAGTCATCCACGACCTCGTACCGTGAATAGTCTTTCTGGTCATCGTTTGGGTTATTGTTACAATTACCACAGATCCCAGTTAGGTCGTTCCCGTACACATTAGGTACTTGGACGATGGCGCTAGAGGCACCGTCAAACTGCACCACCAGACCACACCTGGTTTCCAACCGAACATACGTCCCACTTAAAGCTATTTCAAACTGTGCGGTCCGATAGGGAAGAAACACTAGTTTTCCATTCACCTACAAAAACAGTAGGCTACTGAATTTATACACAAGAAAACACAAACTTGACATGCATCGTTCGAGTAATAACATTTAAACTCGGACTAACTTCAAAATATGAAGGGAAGATTGACCTAACAAAGCTCACTGTATGTTTATAACATGTAAACTGAACCTGTAGATTCCAGAAACAAGTGTTATCGGGAATTTAAACAAAGTTGTATTTCAAACAATACTAAAAAATCAAACCTAAATAGAAAATGCCATCGAAACGTTACCAAATATAATAACATACAAATTGAACCAAAAATGGGCCTTCCACTTATTCCAATTGCATACAAAAACAGTTTCAACAAAGTTTCACTTCGACAGTATTTTTCGAAACTGTAGAAATAGTCATCACTGCTGTAGTCGACACGGANGGTCAACATACACTACAGCGTGAACACACAAGGGTAAAATATATCACAGCGTCAACAAACAAGGACGAGATAAATCACAACATGAACACTACGGGTGAAATATATACCATATATTTAACAATGCCATGGAGTGAACCAATTTGACTTAAAGTGTATAGATAAGAAAAGGCATCATGAACTGAGGCGATATCACCAAGCAATCTTGTGAATTAAATTTGCTTCTGAACCAGTCAATACCCGGCAAATTTGTCAATATTGTCGAACAAAGGCTTTAGGATATGAATGTTTATTTGATATCTGACCAACAGCCGTTTTTACCAAGTGTGGATTTCTACGAGTGTTGTTACATACTGACAAACATCACTTTTGGAGCGAATCGACGAGAATCGCCGAGCTCGGTAAGTCAGATTAAGTGCCTCGTGCCACTACACATTCACAAGAATATCATTGTTTTCTTACCGAAAGATGGACTATCACAGTAAATGCTAGCATTCCTGATGGAATACTTACTGTTGAAGTTGTAGATCAGAGTCATCCACGACCTCGTACCGTGAATAGTCTTTCTGGTCATCGTTTGGGTTATTGTTACAATTACCACAGATCCCAGTTAGGTCGTTCCCGTACACATTAGGTACTTGGACGATGGCGCTAGAGGCACCGTCAAACTGCACCACCAGACCACACCTGGTTTCCAACCGAACATACGTCCCACTTAAAGCTATTTCAAACTGTGCGGTCCGATAGGGAAGAAACACTAGTTTTCCATTCACCTACAAAAACAGTAGGCTACTGAATTTATACACAAGAAAACACAAACTTGACATGCATCGTTCGAGTAATAACATTTAAACTCGGACTAACTTCAAAATATGAAGGGAAGATTGACCTAACAAAGCTCACTGTATGTTTATAACATGTAAACTGAACCTGTAGATTCCAGAAACAAGTGTTATCGGGAATTTAAACAAAGTTGTATTTCAAACAATACTAAAAAATCAAACCTAAATAGAAAATGCCATCGAAACGTTACCAAATATAATAACATACAAATTGAACCAAAAATGGGCCTTCCACTTATTCCAATTGCATACAAAAACAGTTTCAACAAAGTTTCACTTCGACAGTATTTTTCGAAACTGTAGAAATAGTCATCACTGCTGTAGTCGACACGGAAGCATTATTAACATAAACTACTGTACACAATCGTCATTTATACACAATGCTGAAGTCGACATAAGTGTTATTTAACACATTGCTGAAGTCGACATAAGTGTTATTTAACACATTGCTGAAGTCGATATAACTGTTATTTAACACATTGCTGAAGTCGACATAAGTGTTATTTAACACATTGCTGAAGTCGATATAACTGTTATTTAACACATTGATGAATTATCCATAAGTGTTATTTAACACATTGCTGAAGTCGACATAAGTGTTATTT